GCAGGTATAGTTCTCTGTCGTGGGTTGTCGAGCAATTTACAGCAAACTTACGAGCGATGTGTTACCTCTAGGCAATGTCCTAAGAAATCTCGATACCAAATGAAAAAAACTAAACGAAAACGAAATGAAAAACACAACTAGTTGAGTATGAACATGACAAAAACTAAGATGCAGATGGGTTTCAGGTGAGCCTTCCGTCAGAATTAATTCAGTATGCACATGAGCGTGTAGTCGAAGTTTGTAACTTGGTTTACGTAATTCTTAAATGCGCGGATTATGGATCACAAAAAAGATCCTGTCCTATCCACAGGTCGCTTATCTGGGATTTAATGGCTTTTCATGGTGTGGTCNGAGATCCTGTCCTATCGCTTATCTGGGATTTAATGGCTTTTCATGGTGTATTCCATATGCTACTGAGGCTAGACCGACCTCGGGGTCCCAAGTTTACCTAACGGGTGGTTCATTATTACTTGAAGCATTCCACCCAGTAGTTCATCCTCGTCGCTGTTGTCGATTAACTTCCTATTCGCTACGCGTAAGTAGTCTTGGGCCCGAATGCTATTCAGGCCACTATGTGAGCAGACTCTTCTTGAGAATATCATAAATGAACGGAGCTAATTCCAATTCTTAAGTTATATCCGGACGGTATGCGATGTACTCTCTCTGGGCTGAACGAATGGCCTTCTTCCGAAGCATGCAAAGATCGTTAAATTTAGCGGTAAGGAGAAAAACATTGCTTCGTCTGATATCCAGTCGCTTCAATGTGGTTGCGCATACTCTAGCTAGACGACAGAGTTTTGTTCTACATGGAATTCCAATCCTTTAATTGGTCGTTTGCCTGTTAGTGAAACGCGTAAAAGGCTGGGCACCACAAACCTCATCGGGCCTGAAGGAAAGGCTAGATTGCGAAGTCGACAGAAGAAATGGTGCTGTTGTGATTACTCCTAGTTTTGAAAGCGTTTTGATGGAAGTGCTCTTTTAGCCGTTTTACACTGAAATGTTCTACATCGTAATCGCAAATTGTATCTTCAAAATCTCGCACTATCACGTGAATATCGTAAGCTTGCAGGTATTTGTAGTGTCAGATTGATACAAAATTATTTGCTGTTTGATGCGCTGTGGTTCAGCTTATACGTCATCTCGTCTTTGTCACTCAGTCATTTTCAAATGCGTTCATGCATCAGGCGACACTTGTGTTTGTGTATGAAGTAGAGCCTTCTCAAAATTGTTCACATTCCAGAGATCATTGCACGCGAATTCTTTGTCGTATGATTACCAACACTAACCTAAATGGTTGGGCATATTTTTCAGTTAGAAAAGACAACCAGGTTCCAGGTGCCAGGTTCCAGGTGTTGACGCTTTTGAGCGAAGCATCAACTAGGTTGTTTACGTTTACAGCCGTGCATTCCTTCTAAAATCTGAAGAAAATAAGCCCGAACACTATGTTACTAAGTGACGTAACTTAAAACGTAGTTTCTGTAATCCCCGTGGAACCTTTGAAGTAGCTTTGCACGAACACGTCAGCAGAGCGTCTTTGGTATCTAGTCGTAAATGGATAACCGAACCTAATCTGGTGCTGGGCAGTTACCCGCGATGTGATTTTTAAAATTCGTTTACGGTTTTAGCTAGTGGAGTAAATGGAATTAATGGACGATTCGAAATCACGAAACACTCTTGAACTTTGATTTCGAAGCGTTTCCATTTTATGCATTTGGACATCTCCAAGAAGTGTTGACCGAAAGAGCGAGCCCTGTAGACGAATACCTGTTTTAAATTGTACACTTTTAGGGCAACTGATGAATAAGTCCCCGTGCGTATAAACGTCTAATATAGTTTTTTTCACTCCGTTGAATCGTATGCAGCTATTAGATTGAAGCGTTACTGACTAAAATTCTGTTAACTAGGGGAGCACTTGATAATAATGAAAGACGTTTATTTTTCAAAGTTGCGAGTGGTTGTAATTGTAGCTGGGAGCGTTTTTTTGACAAACGCCGTCACGCAAACGATAACGAAGCAACAAATTTGGTGAGCCTCTTTGCCTGGTGTAATTTCGTAGATATATACTTATGCTTTAATTTATTGTGTATCGCTATTAATGCCAAGCACGTCAGTCTACACAAGAAAAATCCCTGGATAAACAGTTGAGCACAGTAAATCATCACAACTGATTCTGTTTGTTGGCCATTTAGATCTGTGTCCAACTTTCCTCATCCCCCAATTGTTTTATTAAAAGAGAAAAGCCAATTAATATTCATCATGTACTTTTAGAGAAAGTAAAACAGCACTATAATGATTCAGTTGATTTCAGACATAAAACCTGATGTTTTATCGTTATTTCAGGTTACTCACCAGTAGAAAACGTCCGAACCAGGTACGTCACTTGGAAATTCAGCGGTGCCAGTATATTCCGGGGCACGCTGTAGTCAAATGTTTTGGCATCATTCAGACAATGCCACATCAGAGCTAACGTTAATATTTTGAAACTTCTGTTTTGATCCTAATTATGCGATTGCGGAGAAGCAAGATTCAGTGGATTGGCTACCTAAGGAAAGGTCTGCCAAAACCTGCTACCCTCGCTTTGTGTTCCGAAAGTGATTTAGCTAAAGGATATCCCGCCTACAGTACATATTTTGGCGACAAATCTGGTCAATTCACGCAAATTATAGCTGTGAATTATTCAACTGTCGTCTTCATATTTAAGGGGTAGGTTGTCGCTTCACACTCAACATGTGGTTGTCAATTTTTTTATCTCCCGTAATAAACCATCATGAACGATCCCAAGCAAGTGTATGAAACAGCATATACACTTTTGGCTGATAGCCGGGCCAATGTACTGTTCGCTCAATTGAAAGGTGTCAGATACGCGAAGACCCATAACTGCCCACTCAGCAGAATCCGCCAAGTGTATGTTCATCCACAGAAATCCCTCCGAATTCCACGGATCTGGTATATTCAAAGCAGATTTGATTCCCCCGAGCCAATGGTTCTGTTCATACACAGTAGACAGCCGGCAAATTTCCACGCGATTGTTCACATGTACATACCTATCCACGTTTTACTTGTCCGTCATTTGTAATGTCACCATCTTTTGAGTTGTGTTGACTTGAAGAGAGAATCGTGAAATTCAAAGATTTTTAATCTGTTTTCTGACTTGAAAATGACAATCTCGCATGATGTATGCCTGAAGTGAAATTATAAGTCATGCATAGGTTAGACGATTCCGAAATTCAAAAATGTGGAAGTGTTTTACGGTAATTTCGGTGCAATTTAAAACAAGTAACCAAATTACTAAACGATACCTAATTCTTGATGTACGCGAAGCCAACCATAATTTTCTTGACCGGAATACCACAGCTTCAAAATCCGCACACCCACTAACGGTGAGAAGTATAGCGGCTCAGTGCTGTAGTTTGCAGCCTTAATATTCAAGTTTGAGCTAAAGTCTCTGACTAGTGTTCCTACCGCTCGAGTTTTATGACAGTATATGTCAGAACAGGATGAATGAACGAAACATGAATGTTGGTGGGTGAGTGTAACACGACAGAAAATTGACGTACAATCGCCGAAAATCGGTTAGCATAAACATGCAGCCTGGCCGTAAAAGCTCGGGTTTCACTCATTTGGGTGAATGTTAGTGGGTGAGTGTAACACGACATAAAATTGACGTACAATCGCCAAAAATCGGTTAGCATAAACATGCAGCCTCGCCGTAAAAGCTCGGGTTTCACTCATTTGGCGATACATTTTATAACGGAAGCATGCACACATGGTTACGCAATTATATGTCTGAACCGGACGATTGTGTCCATAGCTTCCCAAATAAGGTGGACAGGGATGTGAGCGTAACTGACCTGATTGAGTGTCACCCAAGTCCATTGGTTTCCGCTGTTTGCTTGAACTCATCAGAACTGCACTAGTAACGAAGAGAATCATTGATAACAAGGTGATGTGGAATTGAATTACACAGTCTTCCGCGGTAATTTCAATGCGTGAGTAAAGTCAGTGTACGAAGGAAAGACATGAAGTACCGATTTTACTGTTACTGGGAAGTAGTAGCAGGACTCATCTCACGACATGCAATGCTTTCGGAATTTGCGGACTTCCAGCCATCGGTTGAATACTCAACCGTTTGGCCACCAGCGGCTGAACAGCAATCGGGTTACTTCGCAGTTACAGGATGTATATCAATGTAACGCTTGTTCAGTCGCGTTTTTAATATCCAGGACTGAGGTGGCAGTAGCAATCAATGAATCAATTTGTCCTTCCGAGTTATTCGTGGATTTCCTGTAGATCAGAAGGAGGATAAAATTCACACGATGAATGATGTTGTCAGACCCTTTCCAATTGTGAGTCCATCCCAGTGGGCTTCAGCGACCTGTGACAGAAGAGCTACTTGTTGAATTTACTACCGGAATTGCGTGTTTACGAGACCTCCTTGGGTTTGGTTAGACGTTCACTGCCAATAATTCACAATAGGGATGAAACAGCTGATTGTGATTCTCCGCATTTCGGCATAGGCTGGCTCCATCTACGGGATTAAAATTCGGAATTTAACAAAATAAAGCCACACAACGCAGAAAATTGCAAGGCCTGCAGCCACCTCCAGCTGATATAAAATCGCCATCCCGGGTTTCAGCGTGCGAGGTTCGCCAATGGAGTAGTTGTAAGGCGTTCACTTTTCGTGTGAAAAAACAGCTCGTGAAATCAAAGTTCAATCTAGCAAAGTAGGGTAACTGCTGGCCCGCTTTGGATGGGCGTCAAGGTCATATATGAGTTAAATTGATAAGATGGGAGATTGGGTACCAGTCAGCTAGCAGCATGGAATGGATTTGCCAGTATGGAAACAAAGTATAGAGCTGCGGAAGTGAACCTCAATCCATCCAGCGTCCATTCAACATTTGGAGGATTGAATGCAACGCTTACACTGGAAAAAATGAAAAACTAGTTGAGGGTTATTTCACGAAAATTCACATCAGATTTGAACACGCTCACAAGATCACCGTCCTGTTTTTCACCGTCACCTGGATTTCACCACGGGGGAATCCTTCCTGAAATAAGATAAAACAAAATAATGGACAAAAAACTAGCCACCGAATAAAATATGCTATGGAATGCATTCCTCAAAATGTTCACTGGTACTCTGTTTCCACAAGCGTTCTCGCCCTCACGCACTTATACGGACACCTACTAAATTATCTTATGTAGTATCACGGCACATCACCACAATGTTGCTCATCAACACGTCACGAATTCCGAATCTGTTCTTGTGGACCCCTTGGTCCCGATAATCTCACCGAGGATAGTCCAGTGGATTGAGTTCGGTTGAACTACCTGATCAATCGTGCGGTCTACTTAGATCAACCGACCGAATTGATCATCTCAACATTCATGAGCAAGTGCAAGGTTGTGCATCATTGCTGTCACGTTGTACTGATTGTACAGCGTACCGTCCTGTGTGAAATCACATGATTCCAGAATCCGTTTTGCGCTTGCTGAAAGAATGCGAATAAGCGTACGATCACCGTCAAACTGACACATTCCTTGGAACATTCCAGAGTGACTCTATGACGATGTCGAAATGACGGAAGCTGAACACCACAACAAATCAATCAGCAGATAAATTTACATCACTGAGACACTATGCGTTCCTACCAACTCCTCATGTTCACTTGACTCTGTTTTGCTCACTTCATTTCTATGTTTCTTGCATGTCTTTTATACAGCATTTTTATCCCCCAGATTTTCCCGAAATTATTGTTGAGTTATTCACAGTGACAATTTTTTCATATGCCCTGGATTCCTTGTTTGTTTCCGGCACATTGCCATTGAGATACTCACGACATCTTAATTGTTTTCAGTGGTGGGCGTTTGTAACATCCGACTGTCATAATTTGAAAATGATATGCGTATTTCCTCATGTACGAAGCTCGTTTACATGGACCTGATCCTTGGAAATCCGCGGGAGCAAATACTCTTGCAACTTGTAGTTTTGAACTCCAGGGTCCTAGCTGGTGTGTCTTTCTCTGCGACGTTTCGTAGCGCCGTAGTTAGTGTTGTGACCGTGGTTCGTAGACTGATTCCTTTCAATATTTTCTGCATTTAACTGGTTATGCTCAGTTGTCCATAGTGCACATTCGAAAGTATCCGGAAGTACGGTATGCAAACCGCAATGCGGGGAAGGAATCTTAGAGTGTTAAGGGTAATTTCATCTTCAAATTTATCTCAAAGTGATTGCATTCTATTAAATTCATAGTAGAATAAAGAGTAGTGGAGAACCGGGACAGCATGCTACTGCTGTGATACTACTGATACTGTGGATACTACTGATGAAGCATGCTTGTGTTGTGTATTTCTCTGATAGGTCCCCTTCTCGTCTACTGTAAAGCGATCCACAGTTTTTATAAACAAGATTAATACGAAAGTTTTTTTCCCAAGTCCAGTGGTATGTTACGGTTAAATGTGTCGAGAGATTGGTCGGTTAAATACATCTATATATGGCGCGTCTAGAAGGTACACAAGCTGAAAGAGAGACTTCCACGGTGGTGTGATGTCTTTCCAGCGGGAATCGTTCTGGATAAGCAATAACATCATGTAGTCCTCGGTCTCAAGTCCTTAGACTTCTTGAAATCTACTTCGGATTCCACGGCTACTACCTCCAACGAGTTGACGGGTCCCGAGGCCAGTGATGGAACAATTCAAAAGAAGACTGAATGGAAGTCGATGAGTAGCTGAACTTTCAACTAAAATAATACCGATTGTATCATGTAGCACCCTCCACTTGTACGGTAGAGCACGTCATATGCTGCAATGTTCCAGCGAGGATAGATTCAACCGTTGCAACCGTGTCTTTGGCCCGGCTAACGCATCTAAACCCCCCTAATGAGAACTGGGAATGCATATAGTTGTCTATACTCCAAAAGCAGTCTAAGGCACGAATGTCACTATTACCACAACCTTTAGATCTTTCAGTTTTGTGACCTAATATGGGGGGCCAACTGGATAAATTGTCCACTCATGTTGGCTTATGTTTATCAAGGGGTTTCTGTATACACGCGCTGCGAGTGTTATCGACAAACCAGTGGTAGCTAAAGCGCTATCCAGCGACTATGTATAACCATACGGTCGTAAATGAGGTATTTATCATGCAGGTCCAATTTGTATGAGACGAACCAACGGTAAACTGTATACGAGGTTGTGGTTATAGCATAGCAGAGCTGAGCAAACTGTACTGAAGACAGTGCGAAAGATCTTCAGAAGCATTTGGCCAAGTGACCTAAAAACACTAATACATCCCGTAGCTGTAGCCATCTTCATTCAATAGATCTGAGATATCATCCTAATAAATCAGGTAGAGTTACCATTAACAAAAAACACAAAAAGTGCCTGAGAACGCATGATTGATTGCATTTGTGACAAATGTTGGACGGGTTCCGTTGCAGAGGAATGTCAGTGTCGTTTGAAGAAGTTCGACACCACCATAATCACTAGCTACTGCCCAGATTTTAAAGTCGCCCGCACAGGACCAGCAAGGTAGATCATCTGCATGTACTTGGTGATTCCCAATAAATAGCTCCGCAGCGACGGCCTTCTAACTTTCATTTGGTGCAATGATCATAATGAGAAAGAGGAACCCGTTGCCCAAACCCTCTGAATGTTGGGATGGCTGAACATTCCTGGAGGATTTCCAGGTGGTTGCGGAGGCTGCTGGACTGGATAGAGACCGCGGTAATTTGGCGGCGCAGAAGTTTCCACACAGAGGCCCGGAATACCACGAAAAGGGGCTCTCAAAAGATGGAGTGGGTCACCGCGAAGGTGGCCATTGCAACGAAGGTTAACACGCTGGCGACTACTAATAGGTCACGAGACGGCCAGGATAGAGCCCGGATGTGAAGCGACCGTGTTTCTCGCCAACAAGCAGTAGTCGATGCACCAAGCTTTGCCGGGACTGGACGGATTGTCGCGCCTCCAGTTCTTGTATGACCAGTTTGTCGAAGGAATGCAGACGGCGCTTGGCGCTTAGTTGCGTTTTGCGAGAGCGACTGGCCAGTTGAGTGTGGAGCTCTGGTGCATCTTGCATGAGAGTTGGCCGAGGCACCACTGGCTTGGGTGGCAGTTGCAGGAGAAGAGGGATGGTTCAATGATGCGGGCCAGAGTGGACCAACTCGCCGAACAGTGTGCAGCCATCAGTACGAAAATGCGGAGGCGCGCTCGAGCGAGCCGGTACTACAATTGTTGCGGGTCCGGCCACTGGAGAACTCAATGCGTCGTATCCGAACACCTATAGATAATGAAATTTTGAATTTCTTCTCTTTTCCTAGATGGGTTACTATTAGCACAGTGACAAAGTCTAACATACATTCCGTTCTCGATGTAGACGGGAAGAAGTAGTTGGGCTTGAATGATGCAGAAGTAGGGGTATCGCTGAGGCATAGTTGGAAGCGAGCTGAATGCAGACCGTACGCATTAGGCGTGGGAGCGGTGGGTGGATATCGACTGAAGATTGACGGGCTGTCACTTTACTTGATTAGCCTAGGCGACAAGTCCGTGGAGCACACGGTCCTGGTCAGGCCAGACGTAGAACAGACAATACTGGGGCGGATTTTATCAAGGGCACGGATTCCATTATTGACCTTGTGGCGTTTTGTATCTTTGTTTTACTTCCATTATAACACTACGTATTTCATCGAATGCATAATCGTTTTTTGCTTGAATACGAAAAACTACAAAAACGCGCACTTGTACAATTTCACGTAATACAAGCGTGGTCACGTGTTTCGACTCT